CTAATGGCATTTTTCCTGCTGATGGGACAGTATCAGAATTAAAATTTGGCTTTAGAGGACATTTTACTCCTAATTGTTGAAGGCAAGAGTTTTCGCATTCACAGAAGGGGCATAAAGCCTTGTCTCTAGCATAGGGGTGCAAAAGGGAGGAGAATTGGGAAGCTAGAGTGTTACAGCAAAGGACCGACCATGTGCCTCATGGAGAGAAGTCCTATTCCACTAGGTGGCGATGTTGACCTAGAAATACCATGTGCCTCCCAGAGGAAGGGTAGAGAGAGAAATGCTTATTGAGAGAGGCTATTGGCTCCTAGAAAATCACAGAACACAGGATTCCCTTGTGCTATATTCCCAGTTACTGTGGCATTCGCTGATCTTTCCTAATAGGACTATTTCCCTAAACTGTAAAAATTCTCACACATTGCATTCACAGAGAGGATAGGAGACATGGCAATTGCGGATAGGAAAGGAGGATGTGTTGCGATAGGACAGCTGGAAATCCTGTTGCCCACCCTCAGTCGGAGGTTGGAAGCTGGGGTCAGTCCAGAAGCCGTCGCAGAACACCAGGGTGTAGCCCTGGCCAGAAATCTTCAGTTGCTTTAGGACCTTTTCCTGCCCCACGTGACGGCTATGTCTTCCGTGAAAGGAAACAGGTTCGAAGAATGGCCAACACGCCCGATGACCGGTGAGTATTGGGAGGTTCTCCATGTTCTCCTAAGCAAGCCTAACATCCGCGACTTCAAGAATGGCGGCCGCCCTGTCAGCATTTAGATGGATGTAGGATGCCCATTATTTGGTTTGATTTAATTTTAATTTTATTTTTAAATTGAATTAGATTATTATTATTACGGGTTTTTTTTTGAGATGGAGTTTCGCTCTTGTTGCCCAGGCTGGAGTGCAGTGGCGCGATCTCGGCTCACCACATCCCGGGTTCAAGCGATTCTCCTGCCTCAGCCTCCCTAGTAGCTGGGATGATAGGCGCCCACCGCTCCTGGGTAATTTTGTGTTTTTAGTAGACACGGGGTTTCTCCATGTTGGTCAGGCTGGTCTCCAACTCCTGACCTCGTGATCCACCCGCCTCGGACTCCCAAAGTGCTGGGAGCTGGGATTACAGGCGTGAGCCATCGCACCTCGCCCGATTTGATTTTAAAGTGGAGGCCGAGAGCCTCGAAAAGACGGGACAGAGGTGAAAGTTAAGCCCTGCACCTAAACTCACTGCTCTGATGAATACACCGTCTGTTCTGATTCTGATCCTGAGTGAGTCCCCATAATGAGGCGGTTTTGTCTGGGGAAAAAACTGAGTTTCGTTGTCTGGCGCTAAGGAGAACAAAGATATGGGCACATACACGGAGTGGGTTTAAGAACAGGAAGTTTAATAGGTGAAAGAAACAAGAGGAAAGCTCTCCTGCGTAGAGGGACAGAGTTCCCACGGGATCTCCCTGGTCGAGGTGGGAAGCGGCTGGTTTTATAGAGGGCTTGAGGAGGCAATGTCTGATTTACATAGGGCCAGGTGCGGCATTTACATAGTCCACAAAGAGGCCGGCTCTCCCACCCTAATCTTTTATTATGCAGATGTGGTTTCCACCTGGATGGCTGGCAGTGACATCGCACACAGGGCAACAAGGAGAACGGAGGGGAAAACCTCCATGTTGTATATACCTGGCCTTTGGCACAGCTGCGGGTATTCACCTATGGCTGCTTATCTATGCTTGCAGCTTGATTTTTCTATGCTTGCTGCTTTCTGTTAGAAAAGAAATGATTTTGGGGTGATTTTTAAAAGAAAATCCTTACGAAGAGTCCTGTACCTTCGTTATTTGCCTAAATAATTTCTTTTTAACTCCTATATTATTCCCTTTAAAGAATTTTTTTTGTGGTGTTTGTCCTATTATTAGGTTGTAAGAATTCATTATATATTCAGGAAATATGTGATTCATGATATATAAATATATTTTTATAAATTAAATATAATTATATAAATATATAATTTTTTACATATTCAGGAAATATATTTAGTCCTTTTTGGGAAATATTTTCTCTCAGTCTATAGATAGTCTTTTCTTATACTTAACAGTATCTTTTGTAGAGCAGAAGGTTTTACTTTTTAAAAATTATTAATATTATTTCGACTAATATCTTTGGCTAGAGCATTACTGGCATATAGAAATGGTGCTGATATCTATATATTAATTTTGCATCCTTAAACTTGAACTGAATTCATTTATTGTATCTAAGAGATTTTTGATGGAGTCTTTAGGGTTTCCAAATATAAGGTTATATCATCAGTGAACAGGGATAATTTGACTTTCTCTTTTTCAATTTGGATGTCTTATATTTTTCTCTTGCCTCATTGCTCTGGTGAGGAATTCCAGTACCATGTTGAATAAGAGTGGCGGAAGTAGGCAACCTTGTCTTGTTCCAATTCTTAGAGGGAGTGCTTTCGACTTTTTCCCATTTGGTATGATGCTGGCTATGAGTTTATTATGCATGGTTCTTATTATTTTGATGTATGTTCCTTTGATGCCTAGTTTGGTGAGGGTTTTTATGATAAAGGGATGCTTAATTTTATCAAATGCTTTCAGCATCTATTAGATGATCACATGATTTTTGTTCTTCATTCTGTTTCTGTGATGTATCTTATTTGTTGATTTGCATATGTTGAACTATTCTTGCATTTCTGGTATAAAAGTCCCTTGATCATGGTGTATTATCTTTTCAATGTGTTGTTGAATTTGGTTTGCTGGTATTTTATTGAGAATTTTTGCACCAATGTTCATTAGGGATATTGGTTTGCAGTTTTCTTTTTTTTTTTTTTTTT